CCCTTGTTTAATCTTAAAATGATATCAATTTGCATACGTAATTGAGAATTCACAGGAACGGACAAAAATCTTATATGTAGAATGAGAATAAGAAACAAGTTCAGATAACGAAACATAAAATATTACGCGAACATTGCAGTTTAATCAAGTGTCGTCCTTTCCTATGACCTCTTCTTCCAATTGTTGTCATTTATTGTATCTTTTGGAATAGCTGGTATTGAATTTAAAGGACATATGTGACAAAGTGTAAAACAAAAGAATACCAAGGAAACAAAAGATGAAGAGTTAGTCTGTGGTTGGTGTTGCCACGGGAACAAAGAACGAGGCCTGCTCGTGATTGGTGTTGCCAATATACAATGGTGTTGCTATGGGGGTTCATGTAGAGTCCATAAAAAAACAAAGCAAACAAATCCAAAACAATCCAAATTAAGACACGTGACTTTTCGCATCTGTTTTTTTTTTTCACAGAATACCACTCATTCAATGTGGTATAGTATATGACCTTATAAACTAGCATCACGTGGTTCTATCCACCATGCGACATTATAAAGCGAAATGATTTTATAATTTAAAACGTTATAAATCATTTTGTTTTTCTGACGAAGTTATTGTGTTAGGTGCAATAACAGTCTCTCTATGGACTATAACTGTTCTAATGTCATGTAAAACGTGTTTAAAATGTTCTCAATTTATTCAATTTATTGTCTATTCGATCATGTGTGTTGTGTCACTGTGTTTTAAACATAACTTCTAGAATAACAGTAACAGTAACAGATGCATAATTATCAGAAATCGTAATATCTACTCAAGCATCGGAAACATCGTTCAACCTGGCGACGATTCGAGACGACTTAAATACATCTGTATGCCCGGACCTAATTGAATCTCCTATGGATGAAGAAATAAATTTGTAGTGGTGTGGACTCTTTCTACCCAAGGCACGTTTCGAGTGATTGTAGGACGTTTCGGCCCGACTGGCCTAGTACTATGAAACCTATAGGGTATCCAATGTTTCCAACTGGTTGGCTCACTCGTCACCTTCGCCCTAGTAATTTCACCAGTTTGTCCCACTTAAAAAAACATGTGGGGAAATCAAATATTTAGTATAAAAAACCGGGCGATTCATCAACATTGCAACAAACCAATGCCACATCTACAGATGACACAGTGAGAAGTCCGAATATACTGTGAATCGACAAACATATGCGGATGGCATGCAGTCACATCAACGAATCGGCGTTACGAGTCAATATAAAGAAAGTCGAAATGACAAATCAAATTATGTATTTTTTATGTATTTAGTATTTTGTGTCACCCCTCCCCCCAGCGGGAGATGTGCCACACGGCGTAATCAGACGTAATGCCAACGTAGAGAATCGAGGTTGGCTTCCGCAATGAACACTAAATTTCTTCAACGTCGTTCGAATGGCCCATAGACCCTCTAACAGTGGGTCTATGAATTACCTCACATGTCCATATGCAAGCTTCATTGAAAAGAAGCGACGTGATACAAACTACAACGCCCAATTTCCGATACTGAAGCACATTATGAAAACCCTAATGTTGACACATCTCTAACTAGTATTCCATTTAGAGGTTAAAGAGCTTATTGCGATTTGTCCATAATTCAATTTATTATTAAAGATTGATTTCCTAGGCTTTATAACACAATTAATCCATATTAACGGTCAAGGTGAGGATGAACAGATATTCCACTGCAAAGAGAAACAATAGTGACCCACGTCGGTTAATCGAGGGACTATTTCCATAGCAATCTCAGACACAGATACTGAGCAGTGTGCTGTGCCATTTTGCCTTTCATTCTAGGCATTTCCCATAGAAACTTAAAAATATGTTATAACGACAATTAAAAGTTGTTTGAAGAATTCACATCATATTGATATCGGAAAACGTAGTACTGGCCGGCCACTCGATAGGTAATGTCCCAATTCCCAGTCTGGGCCGCGGGTACGCTCCGGGTTATATGCGGACCGGTTGAAAAGTCCTGGTACTTCATCTACAAATCGCATACAGGGTTTACACTGCATATGGTTGACGCTATTGTTTACGTTTAATCATAGTTCATTGAATCAAAGACACTTCTCTAGTGTCTTTAGACCAACATGGGTTTGCAGGTCCATGGCCCCATTAACTAGAAGGTGCATGGTGACATCGTAGCTTGTTTATCGGTCTGTTGTACATGCTTATTTTATCTTAGAAAGTGTGAGAAATTGCGTGGGCGTGCTCAATAACCGGAATGAAAACGACAAACTATTACACATGTTCTGCCTCGCACAGGTTGTCTGGTACAAGTGTATATAAAAATACGGGAAATATACGCGCCACACAACGCTCGACAAACATGTTACGTGTTCTATTTCACTTATTGGCTAACTTTAAAACAGTAATACACACATTTGTTGGTTCTGACTATGAATGTTTGAACGCCGAACCGCTTTGTCCGGTTAGTTTTCCATTTTGGGTCAGAAGGCAACTTTGCCCTTTGTTCCGAATCGACATGCTCCTCCGTTTTGCAGGAGAACAAAGACCTTTAAATTAAACTCGTGTTTAAATCACTGGCGTAGACATCATTAATAATATTTCTTGTCCGGGAACGATTTTTCCCATCGAATAGATTGATTTACGTACTAGTAGTCCCCTCTCTCATGTAATGCTAGTATAAAAAAAGGCAATCCGGCCAAACTATATATGAGCCATTACAAAGTTGTGGTCGTGGTTCTATACATGGCATTATCAGAAGTAATTAAACACTCTTAGTAGTACTATGTGTTTTATTTACACACAGTCTCCACGAATACTCTGTACATATTTGCATTACATTAGTAGCAACTTTCGACGTGGTACACAGTGTTGTACAACCTTTCTCCATTTTCTTCATCGCACGCGCTGCCGTAAAACAGCCAAGGCCAGTATTGCGACAGTTCTCACATAAACAAATAAGCCATTGAAGCGAACCGGTAATGCAATTCTCGATTAAATGGTCCTACTTTGACGCTAATGTCACGGTATCCTCGTACAATCAGGATTTCCATTCTCGCTGACCCGTTTAACTTGGCCGTGACCCACAAAGACCACACAACGAAACTGCCTTTTATGGTCGTGGTCTTCTCCGTCTTTTGTTAGGAGGATTGGAACCACACCTACAGCAGTGAAGCACCTGCTATCTTTGTACAGGTATACCCAGATGTAGAGAAAGATCCGAGTTTTTTTCAATATAACAAATATTATCTAGATTTAGAAAAAACAACTCGACGAGGAATAGTATATTCAAGTTGTTCTTTGTGTCCATAAATGTTCAGTTTGAAACATCGCTTTGTCCTTGTCCGAATTGCAACTGTACACACGGGGTCAAGCATCTTATGTTGTTTATTTTCAACTATATTTATTCAAAATATTTATTACAAATATTTAACCCAAATAGTTAGGAATGGTGGTTCACTCGTAACCGCCTGAAACGCGGCGCACAAAATAACACGTGACCAAGTTTCTCCAGGACACCGCCGTGAAAAGCTTTAATATTACTGAAAGAAGAGAGGTCAATTCTATTATCCCGCAATGGCTACTGGGAAATATCAATGCTAGTCACACAAAAAATGACATAGTGCGGACTTGACACTCCCTCCCCATTCCACTAAGGGTGACCATCATTTGTAAAGCCACTTGAGCGAAAGTACATAGTGTACAAAAAAAAGAGAAAAAAATCACCGCTAGACACTAAATAATGTCTCAAAATAAGTTGACTAAAAATGCTTCGGCTTGTTTCTAAGTAACTAAGTTTTTAACAATAACCCGCTTGTTCCCCTGAAAGCGTGTTTCAAGTGGTCCCTTTATCCCCGATCATACATGTCGATATGTCTCATTTGCCACCGTGACACTAGCAGCCCTTCTCATGCTGTGAATACTGGCAAAAGGACTTGCATCAAAACACACTGGGTTGCAAGAACTTATTTCAGAAAATGTTGTGTGATATCCTGTGACAGAGTCATGTGTACCAAGTATGTAAGGTACAATTATTCCTGGGCCAATCAGACGCGTCGATTTTTCAATCATGGAACTACAAAGTACAAAGTAGTAGTAGTTGTATGTAGTTGTTGCATAAACTGGAGGCAAGACCCAGGAAGACCGTAGCAACTCATGCATGCATGGAGACATTATCATGATGAAAGACTTGCGCCATTCATAACAAAACCATAAAGACAAATAAAGGTGACCAGTGCAAAAGCAGTCACGTTTACGATTTTACGAAGTTATAAAAAGTAGATCAGTAATCCTGGCATCTGTGGAAAAGTTAGCGTACGGCATATTCCCATTACTCGCACCTGTACCAGTGCTTACTAACAACGACAAAGCACGAAGCGGTGAAACAACGCCCTTAAATTATCATAATTCTAATTTTCTCATTGAGCAGACACTGGGTTTATTAAGCGAAAAGTTGCTCTCCGTGCTACTGCTACGTTCGAGTTCTGTACACCTGTCGCCGCGAGATAATCCCCCTAAAACCATCATGATGACTTACTCAATTGTTTTAGATGGTCAGAAACTTATCCTGATAAAGTCGTGTGGTCAAGTTGTTTTACTTTACCACGCAGATTACTGCTTTTCTTTCGAGTATCGTCCCTGAAAACTTATTAGCACCGAATATTTACCGGCTAATTAGCATAAAAAATGTCGCCTCGTTCACACTACAGTACTTCCGATGATCTTGTTAATGTATTGCTTCCAATTTCAACGTGTTCAAACAAGAACGTCCACTGGTTATACATTTTCCGGTGGTTTGTAAAAACAATAAAACACAGTTTTCATGCAATTTTTTGACGATATACGAAGTAGATAGTGTTTTTAAAACCGATTTTGAACGAGGCAGTGCAACAGCTGTTGAAGCGAGCCGGTAACGAGGGTTACCCGTATGCCACATTTCTTTTGTTGTTTCGTTTCATTGTAGTGTCGACCAATCAAATCGGACTGTGTACACAGTGACGCGTGCCAGCCACACGCCACGATAAGACGTGTGTAAACAATAACAACAAATGGGGAACGATTGAATGACAAAAGATCGCCCGGAAACACTCCCCCTATAAAGTAGAAGCACCTTGCGCAGTTAGAACACAGAATCACCAACTTTGACGGATTGCACATAGCAGTGGGAAGCCAAGGAACGAGATCACACTCCGATGAACAAGGAGCGAAGACTAGATTGCCTCTCTTCGCTGCTAGATCGTCGACGCTGATCCGGGCCAGCAGCTTTAAAGGGAAAAGCATGCCGTATAATCTACCTGATAGTTGCAGCGACAACTGGTGCTGGAACAAACGGGACAAGTCACACGAAGTAAAAGTGTTTGGGAAGCGAAATCAAAGTGTTCTTTTCCATCCAAACTGGTCGAATGGCACTGCGGCAGTACGAGGGAATGACGCGCTGAATAACGGCAGACATTACTGGGAAATCGACGTGTCGCAGAGGATATTTGGCACGAGTATGATGTTCGGTGTGGGTACGAAAAGAGCTCGCCTTCATGTTGATGCATTTGTTAATTTGTTGGGAGAGAACGAAGAAAGCTGGGGACTATCGCACAAAGGACTTCTATGGAACAGAGGTGAGAGCAAAATTTACACAAAACCTTTCCGGGAAAATGAACCTACAACGATCGGCATTTTGTTTGACGGAGTCCAGGGAACTTTAAGCTACTTCAAAGACGGGGAAACATTGGGCGTTGCATTTGAAGGTTTTAAAAAGATAAAAGAAGACATCTTTCCTATCATTTCATCAACGGCAGCGAAAACCGAAATGACTTTGATCAGATCGCGCCGCAGTTATACATCACTACAGGACCGATGCCGAGCAGTCATCATTGCACATGTTAAAGACGAGAAATTGTTAGAAAAACTTTACTTGCCAAATCGACTTATAGAATTTATAAGAGAAGCGACGAGCTAGGAGCAGTATTTGGAGATTTTACATCAGTGTGTTCAGCGCGACGAAAAGCAAAATGGCCGCGACTCATACCTATTTATACACCTTGGGTAGAACAATGAATACGTTTATTATAAATATATATATATGATATAGGTAGTAAATAGATCAGTAGAATAGAATAGAATTGTTGATATTTAACTCTGCGATTTTCAAGTTTACTTGAAGTTAAAATCCCAGACGGGCCCACTACTGTGCAATATATCAGGAAACTATTAAGTTGACTGATACTAATATTTTTGATTTTAGTGATAACAGCTTTTTTGAATAACCTTACGTGCCCCACACGTTGCAATATACCTTTTTATTACATAAGCTTCCGATTTAGTGATTTTCTTTTGATTTCCATATTTTAGTAATACATTTAATTATTCTTTTGTAATATTTTTATAGCTTTTATCCTTTGTAGAAACGTTTTAGCAATTTTTCCTATTGTGCGTTTTTCCACGGTCGCCATTTTGAATAATTTTCCATTTGCTTTTAAAATCATGTACAATTTGAAAGATTTTTTTCCAACTAATGCTAACATATGCTGCCAAAAATACCGTTTAATTTTACAGAACTGAGTCAATTTTAAAGCAATAACTTGGTTCACAATTTAGCCAAACACGATTATTTAATGGGAGCTGAACAGAGAGCTCAGTGTCGCCATGATTGTTCGGCTAATAATCTATTCATGTTGTTATGGCAACGACCACCAGCCTTTTAACAGTAATCACGCATTTGCTGAAGTTAATACATATTACTTTTTCGTATTTATTTATTTATACCACGATAAATTTAGTTATTTATTTATTTATTTCGCTATCCGTGACATGTCAATGTTTTTTTTTTTCTCACAAAAGAGCGAATTAAAAAAAAACAAGGTGTGAAATATTATTTCTGTTTGTGATTTCTTTTCTTCAACTAATCATCATACGTCGGGTTTTGTTGCATGGCGAGTTCACGCTAATTCTCAAATCCCACAAATCATCGACGCCCTCATGATCCTGAATTGGTGTACACCTCGATTGGTCCGAGTGATTATTGACTATTGATCGGTTTACTGAGCATATCAATAGCTCAACAAATATATTTATTGGTTTTAAAACAGTCCCTATGTTTTAGGAATGGAAATGCAAATTACAACGTGGAACAACCTCGGGAACACTGTTTTAAAGTTAACAAAGTCGACTTCATCATCTTAGGCGCGAGCATGCCCACATGCCACGTGCTCGCTACTCAGAACGATGAAAATCTCGTTTTACTGCTGGGCGAACAGCTGGCCACGGGGCCCATGTTACGGGTGAACACATCGACTGTAATACCGTGTTATACCCGCAACTTTTTTATGTCAAAAAAGGAAGGGCAAATATATCAATCGAAAGCGGCGTTCAGTGCAACTGGGTAAATATACCCGGAGCTCCATACTTATTGTAGTGTGAGGCAGGAGGCTGGTTTTAGAAGCATATATGCACAATGCCGAGACCATGTGTACACGTCCACTATAAGCCAGCCGTCTATATGGTAAATTATTCTGTGTGTAAGCTGCACATGGTTTCTACTCAGGATACCCGGGACACTCTGGTTTAATGAAGCGTTCATGCTTATATCACTCGATACGCATGTACACATTTCATAATGTATGGTATATTAGTACAGACGTATTTACCAATCAGAGCTGAATTGGTTACCAATATCATTAAAAACGGAAGATCAGTTTCCGTACGGTTTTCTTTTACGTCTTTGTTCACAAAACCCCAGATATTATATAATGCTCACAGCGATTCAGACAAAACACCGGTTGAACACACGTGGTTCTTATGGTAAGATAGTCTCACAGCATATCTCAAAATTCCGCTTGGTATTATGTAGCCATAAGATGGATATTTATGGGTAGTGTTGTCTCGGAAATTTTAATGAAAAATATTTTTGTTTTTATGAAACATAAATTGTTCCAAAAATGTACATGTTTTAGACAGTTGTTCGTACTGGTGAGAACTCGAAAAGTTGATGACGCGTGTGCCCAAATCAATAATTATATAAAACTTATATAGAAACAACTTGAAATGTTATAATAATTCCGTCCCTAATTATTAGATCGAATATCCGCATACATAGTTAATATATACTTTGTTGTTGAAGTAGGCTCCGTGGAGTAAGGGGAATCTGGTCACATTAAAGTGGGCTTGCTTGAAAGCTAATCGATTCATTCGAGATGCGCCTGACTCAGATAAAAATAATTATTTTGTGAATCAGTTTCGAATTTCCGTTAAATAATTTAATAACGCAAAAAATATTGCCAGTGAATAATGTATAGATGCCAAAAACGATCAGACGGAAATATTCGACCGATGTAAACCACGTAAACGACAAACGAGGATTTTTCAAGAATAACATATAAATATGTCTAACAATATACAATCATTATAGATCTTTTACCTAATATTACTGAATAATAATAACAGTAATAAGGAACAACTTTCAGTGGTCAATTAGATATATGTCATGTCCCGAAAAAGAAATAAACTTGAAGTGAAATACAAGACAATGATTCGGAAGTTGTCGCAGGGAACTCAAATTTCAAGGTGTTGCTGTCTCATTAACATAATATTTAAATAAAACCAATGTATTTATCATCACCACACCCCTATCAATATGTCATCATCACTTATTTTATTGTGGTTGCCTGCCTATTAGTTTTTTTAACGAGATACTTATTCTTGTATTGTGTATACAGTCGGGTCTCGATGTGATCATTTAAACAAATCACTAAGTTGTTCGATATGTGTTTAAACAAATTCGTACACCAACTTGAAGCTTGGCTGAAACGAGTACGAACGTGTACAGAAACCGGACAGAGTAGAATACTCGTTCACAGTCATTTGTGAATTACTAGTACATGTATATCTAAATTGAGGAAACTTACTTCTTGCTTTTAGAAAGCGTTTCTTGTGTACCCAACTAGAGGGTAGGGGTAGGGTTAGAGTTAAGATTCGGTGTGAATGTTTGTGTGGGCACAAAGAGAACTCTTTCCATACTTTTTGTCAATGCGCGTATTGATAATATTTTCACGTGACAGTATCACGTGGTCAACTATGCCTCTTGCGGTTGTTCCGACTATGGAGGTACAGTACCCTATTGTCACGATAAATCCTAATTTACAGGCACTGCACTTTATATCGATATAGCTCTAGATCGGTCAAGGAATAACCATGATTTCGAGCTTGATCTTGCATCGCATAGGAGCTGAGATCGATATAACAACCAACCGCCGCCAACATCGTGTTCTCACTGGAAAACGCCGGCGTAATTAAAAAGATAAGGATCTCAAAATCCTGCATTCACGACATTAGTCTCACAAAAGACGTAAATATGCACACAATCTCATAATGAGGCCATCTTGAAAGTAGAGCTAAAAAAGGTATAACAACTAAACTGACTAAAATTCGACAGATATTGTGAGTACTCACTTTGAAATAAATTAAACGCGAATACAGTTGTCCTTGACATCGAAAAACAATTTAGGAAATTTAACCTGCAAACCCGTTCAAGTTGCGCACATATGTCTTACGCTGTAAGTGTTATAATAATAATCTTTATTGAAACCGTATCCCGAAATGGGATCTTAGTTGAAAATACAATAAAGTACATATAATACAAAAAGATAGCAAAAAAAAAAATACAAGAAATTCACAGACAATTGAATAAAGAAAAGAAGAGGAAAAAAAAAATTATTTGGTGGTTGGTTGGTTGTGGCATCTGGCATTTTAGGATTTTTTCTTGTCGTAATTTGAAACAAGTGTGGATGAATTTTCCTAGCTCAATGATTAGTTTGTCATTTGTACTTTTTAGTATATCTGTAAGTTGTTCGTCATCCGTCTCCAACTTGCTTTTATTGTATTTAATATTCTTGATCATGATTTCTCGTTCTTTCTTGTAAAGGCTCTGAAACTTTCGGTACAGTGACTGGGTTTATACCACAAATCTAGAAATTTCAGCATTACACTGAATATTGCGTAGCTAATTGTTGAGATCAAGGAACGTCTTTCCATGCAGTGTTATCACACGGCATGAATGCGAAACAATATAGGGGTTTCATAGACACAGAACGTTCAAGACGGTACACGTTTCGTCACCGGAAGTTACTTTTATATACCGCTTGTTCAGTTTTTTCGGAAAACTTTTAAATACAATAAACCTAATAAATAGTTCACAAACATGTCTCGTCACGTGAGTTCCTACATTAAAAATAATGACTGGCAGGATGCCTGCATGTCACAACGCAAGATTCCGGACAGGTTTCCGGTTACCAAGTTTATTAGTTGAAGAAACAACAAACTCACAGGACTAGAGAACGGAAACAAAGAATATAATCCTACGAAGGTTATGTCCAGTCACAGCTGTTGCGATTTCGACTCTTTTGCTGCTTGATTTGTATGTGTGGTACGAAACATGTGCCAGTACAACAAGATGGATCAGGTACGGATGAGCGGCTCTTCTGGGCATGCGCATGCATATTCAACGCAAAGTGAAGGCAAGGTTATGATACCACACCAGTCATAGCCCACAACATGTTACTAATACCATCAGTAGATTAATCATTACTTAAGTGCCCGAATATATATTTTTTTGATTGCTAATATAATATTATCATTTTCTCATTCGAATAACACACCTTCCGTGACCAATTCCCGGACACGAATGATCGTTTATCGTATTTACTGCTCATCCCATTATTGTATATATTGTTCCGCCGCAGGATTGCCCCTAACGCGTCTCTGCGTTCGTTGTTGCCTGACATTGAATTGCAAGCGATGCGACACATGACTGACACGGTGCTACATGCAGTAAGGTGAAGCGGTATTTATAAATAGTATCGTAAACATGTTAACCTACTGGAGACTTAGCCATCGTGCGATTCTAGTCGCCGGGTATAGCAAGCATTCCGTCATCTTTATTTGACGCGTTTTCGTAAATTTCACATGTGTACTACAAATCGCAAATCATTTATCTATCCCACTCTGCTAGAATTATTCACCGGTTCAGGCAAGATAGAGCGCATAATCTAGTATTGCAACGTCAATGAGCTTTAACTCAGTTCATGCTCAGGCTGGCGGTACATATAGTGTATTTTTCTATTCAATGTGTATTCCGTGTTTGGAACTAGGTGACATGGCTGCGTAACCATCGTCCTATCATGAAGGCATTATGATAATATATGCTATCCTAGCACCAATCAGACCCGCTAGAACACAAGCACCTGCAGACCTTCAGTTAACCACAGTCCCTCAAGTCCTTGAGGGACTGTGAGTTAACTCAGGTTTTCCGTCAGTGTATGCATCTCGACCACTGGCTTTGGTATATGCATTGAGGGACACATTAACGCAGAGCATGGAAGTACTATACGAACCACATGTAGTTCTATGTACAGAGTAAGTTAATAAAAAAATAAGGAAAATTATCACTACCGTGAAGTAAAGCAACCTCACAAGCTCTTAGAAATTGAATATACACCAAGAACATAAGAGATTACAGAGTATTTGATTAAATCACAGACCCTCTACTGGAGATCAGTGATGGAGAACTCAATTCAATTATTATTGAATTACATAGAAAAAGTCTATAAAATTGTGGAAATATCATAGTCGGAATACACATAAATATAAGATTCATTTCCAGGGTGTTTGTGAATGTAATCACTTTACACGATTGTCGACTATGCCATTAACACTTACTTAGTATAAATGATACAAAGTTACCGTAAAGAAGATAACAGTCCCTCTGGACTGTGAGAAGACTTATTTAATTCAATGAAGATGCCAGTGAAGTATCAAAATTAAAACTCCGTTCAAACAAAGAGTCACTGGAATAAATTGTAATACCGTCCCGTGTACGT